CTGATAAATTATGAAAAGATACTACTAGAGTTGGCCAAAATCTGAGACTGTTACTTATCTATGTTTTCCTACTTTATCTCAGCATATTCTTCCCTTTAAATTTAGAAAGTGAATCTAACAGTGATCTGGAATACTGCTAAACAGAGACGGGCCTTTAAGAACTCCTGGGAAGGCAAATAATTCACTTCAATTCTCGCTTCAAGCTTAGTAATACACCAAGACAACCGAGGTAAAATGAAGCATGCATTTATGCCATAAAATATGTATGCCATTTACAGTTAGCTTAACATGATCATTTGACACTAAGCACCAGGAAAGCCAAGGGAATGGCTCCATTTTAGTCAATTTAAGAAAAAGGGGAAAAATAATCTTAAATCATAATTTTTTATCTAAAAAGATACATATCTCAATTCAGTTCCATGTCAAAGATTCTGATAGTATAATGGGAATTTTAGACCTTTATTTGACTCATAAGGTTGAGGCCCAAAGAAGATAAGATCTCAGGTATTTTAAGGATAAGACATTCCACAAGCTGGTTTTCAGTCTTAAAGTTAAAGCAATGAATTAAGCTTTACTAATTATTTTAACTTTGGGAAGATCCATTCAAATAGTTAATTTGTAGGTCCTGAGATGGATGCACTATTCTTTTCATTATAAATCAAATCACATTTCTAGTACTGTATTAACAAAGCCTCTAGGACAACAGCAGTTCTTAACCTGTGGGTGACGACCCCTTTGGGGGCCAAACGACCCTTTCACAGGGGTTGCCCAATTCATAACAGTAGCAAAATTACAGTTATGAAGTAGCAACGAAAATAATTTCATGGTTGGGGGGGTCAACGCAACATGAGGAAATGTATTAAATTAAAGGGTGACAGCATTAGGAAGGTTGAAAACCACTGCTCTAGGGCTATAAAAGAGAGCAAATGGGATGATTAACAACAGCTGTTATTCCAATGTCCAGGACATTACATTCATACTATGAGTTTTATATTTTACATGCCTCAGGGTCACAATTCTCCAGTGACCCCTCTCTGCCTTCCCACCAACTACCAAGAGGTAACAAACCTTGATCTCTAAGCTGTTACTGAAATCATTAAGGAGGAGTACCCCGAAAAACCCAGAAAAAATTTTCAAAGCTATGTATTTAAATTTATTTCACAAAACAACCTTATCACCTTCAAAGTACTCTCCATTACACTTAATACATTGGTCAAATCTGCGATTCCATTCTTGAAAACATTTGTCAAGCTCATCTGTTTGGATGGCTGACAGCACCTCCTCAGTTTTTTACCTCACCTCTTCTACGTCATCAAATCACTGCTCTTTCATGTCCCTCTTCATTCTCAGAAACAAAAAGAATTCGCACAGAACGAGGTCAGGTGAGTAAGGTGTGTGGGGCAAGAGAGGCATGTTGTTTTTTGTCAAAAACTGGCGCACTGAGATGGCTGTGTGAGCAGGTGTATTGTTGCGGTGGCAAAACCGGTTCCCCATCTGCCACAAATCAGGTCTTTTTTGTCGCACGTTATGCTATCTTTCTAGAACCTCTAAACAGAAAGCTTGATTAACAGTCTGACCTGGTGAAACAAACTCCAAACGCACCATGAGTCGAAATTTTCGTCCATTTGGGAAGTTCACAGATATCCTGAACAAGGTTTGTCCTCAATTGACATTTCACCTTTTTTGAATGAGAAAACTACGTGTTCACTTGAGCTTTTCCCAGAGCATTGTCCTTGTAAGCTGCATTCAACATCATAACAGTTTCTGCAATATTTTTCCTGAGCAGGAAACAAAATTTCACAGCCACACATTGTTCTTTTAAATTGGCCATCACAAAACACGAGGTTTGAGCAAAACTGCTTTTATGAAAATATTCACTGTGACCAGGTGGTAATACCAGAGTGGTATTCCCAGGCAATACCACTGGGTGCACTAACTCAGAACAAGTTGCTTGATGCTCACCTACCAGGAAAAATGTGTGCTACAAAAGCTCCGTCCACTGGAGCTTTTTTCTGTTGTTGCTTTTTTTTTTTTTGGGGGGGGGGGGCGGTTGCTCCTCATATTTTGATGGTTTTTAGTAAACCAATATTAACTTTTCACTTTAAAAGCAACACTAACCATTTATAAGGTTAATTTAATTTTTTCTAATCCATTATTTGATTTTGCAGTGTTTAAGAGCTTGACAAAGTTCTCATCAGCAATACAGTGCACATCCTCAAGTAATATGTACTCTTTAAATGTTTATTATGTGCCAGGCATTTACCTAAGTACTTTTTACAGGCGTCTTACTTTAGTCTTCATAACAAGGGTGGAAGTAATATTATTTACATTTTCCTGGTATAAAGTCACTTTGCCTGAGGTTAAATTAGCAAGTGGTAGAGCCAGGATTGATTTAAATGTAGGCAGTCAGACCTTCAATTCTGTTCCTTACAATCAGAAGTACTACAATCCCGTTTTCTCTCGTTCACAACAGAAGCGCTTATTAGAACATAATTGTATTTAACAGGCATTCACAGCTTAACTAGTGAGGGCTTTTGGAGTCCGGACTTCCTGAAGATAAACATCAAGGCAGACAACTATAATAAATGGTTCAGTTTCCTCAGAAACTCAATTTTCATGGATCAAAACCTAATAAAATGATGCTTTCTGTGGTAGAACACAGGTCATTCTGACCCCCTGGGCCCTCTTTGCTGGGTATTTCAAAAAACAAACTCACTGCCACTGAGTCAATGCTGAGTCACAGTGACCCCCTGCAGGTTTCCAAGACTGTTATTGTTTACAGAGTTGCTGGTGGCTTCCAGGTGCTGACCATGGGGCAAGAACTCCTAACTAGTTGGTATTAGGCAAAGGATATTTACAGTCTTACAACAGAAAGGTATTTATGCCTCTGAAAAGCAGAGCTTCAAACTGATTCGTTCCAGTTCAACCCCTGCTGCATTTCCACCCCAGATACACTGAGTCAGAATTTACATTTTAACCAGATCTTTTACACAAGAAACACTTAGGTATCAATAACCGATTACAGGGAACTATATGTGACCTCCTCCCTGGGGGACAGACAACCGAAAAGTGGGTGAAGGGAGACGTCGGACAGGGCAAGAAAAGACAAAATACCAATTTATAAACTATCAAGGGCTCATGAGGGAGGGGGGAGCGGGGAGGGAGGGGAAAAATGACGACCTAATGTCGGGGGTTTAAGTGGAGAGAAAATGTTTTGAGAATGATGTACAAATGCGCTTTACACAATTGATGTGTGTATTTAACAGTTGTATGAGCCCCTAATAAAATGTTAAAAAAAAAAAAAAAAAATTTAATCAGGAAGAAGTGAAAAAAAAAAAAGAGTGCAAGGAGGAAAGAGAGCCCACTCAGTCCCACTGGCCTGGCTAGTTGCCCTCCCCACTCTCTGGACAGAGTCATGTCCACTGTCTCACCTGCTTGTACCCCACCTGCTGTCCAGTGCTTGTAAGAGTTTAAGTTCTCAGGTCTTTAAAACCCTTAAGGAGAAAACTGCATATAAAAGGACAACTGCTTTCGATTTTTTTAAAAGGAGGGGGGATTGTAAGAAGAAAATAAATTTTATGGGTCTGGAAACATCTACTGTCAGACACATGGTCAAAAGTTGCCAGAAGCTCCATATACCTCTAACTGGGGTGGATATGGACATGTTCAGCAGGAGGTCAAACTAGAATGAACTGCTTAGAATAAAATTTCACTCTTGAATTTCTTCAGATAAATCTAAAGTCCTTTTTGGAAAAGAAGTTAATATTTGCCTATGAAGCCAATCCCTTTCAGTGCCAGAATTTCTACTGTCTGCACATTCCAGGCAGCTAACAACAGAAGATGCTCTCCATGGCTTATGGGATAATTAGCAAAGGTATAGACTAAAAATATGTTTTAAATGGGATACAGAATGCCTAGTACATGGAATCTAAACTAGTGGCCAGTTACATTATTTCTCAGAATAACACAGACTTAATACTGTTTTGAATTGTTACTGCCAGCAGCAAGCACTTTATGAGCTAGGATTATGGCCTCAAATCCTGACCACAGTGCAGTAAAAATTCCAGCTACTGCCGCCGGAGGCTTTAGCAGGTATTTCCAAGACAGGTAATCCTTTTCTGACATAAATCCAATAAGCATAAACTAGAGTTTCCCAAGAAATGATCTTTTTTTTCAGATACAGGCTGCATAAAGCATTTAACGAGGTTTTATTTAATCATCCACCTACTGATTGGTTACTATAAAGAGAAATATTAAATCCACAGATCCAGCATTGAAGTTTACAACTTAGCCTGAACCATCCTATCTGGTGAAATTATTCGGTATACTCAGAAAACAGGCCAAGAAAATGCCACTGGTTTCAGAACTGACTACCAATTTACTGACTCCTGAACTCTTCTCAGAAATCTGGACACGACTAGGGGCAACATGGTTCCCCTTCGAGCTGAACAGACTTCTTCGAGGCCCGCTGACGTCTTAGGGGACATCCCCTTACAGCGGACAACGCCTTCTTGGCCTACCTGGCAGGGCCTCCTCTTCAGCAGCCGGGATGGACCAGGCTTTCCTAGAGAACGTCCTGAAACGAACCCTCAGGAAGGACTTGGGGGACTCACGCCGGTGCGGGGCTAAGGAAAGGATCGGTGGGCGGCCGCTCCTGGGACCACGGTGCACCCCAGGCGCAGTGAAGCGTGGACGGGCTGCTCCCCGCGTTCCGTTAAAGCAGCCTGGGTGGCAAGTGGTCAGCCGAGCGCCCGTGGATTCGTGAGGGAGCGAGACCAAATAACGTCCGGCGGCTGGTCGCTGTCGGGGTCCCCGACAAAGAGACCGCCACGCCCCTCACCCCTGGCCGCCCGCCCTGGGTCCAAGGCCAGACCGACGTGCCGGCGTCCGTGGAGCCCCCAAGGCCGCCTCAACGGGCCCACTGCCCGGCCTTGAGCCCCTCCTCACCCAGCCTCTCCTCCCTTTGGGGGCGTCCCCCCACCCCAAATCTGCCCACTCACGGTCGCCGCGGCGCCGGTGAAAATATCCTCCCCCTCAGTGTCGCTGTCCCCAGCCTCGGGGTCTGACCCGCCAGCCGCCCCCTCGGACTCCGGGTCCAGGCAGGGAAAGGGCGGGGGGAGTCTCTCCGAAGCGCTACAGCCACCGCCGCCGGACGCCATCTTCCTGCACCCGCGGCGGAAGCCGCAACAACAACTTTATCGAGCGACAGCGCCGCGAGCAAAACGCTCCCGCGAAGGGGGAGTGGGAGCAGCCCCCCCGACCCCACGGGACCCCACGGGGCCGGCGCGCTGCGCTGTCCGCTCCCCTGGGGCGGAGCCGAGGTCGGGGGCTCCCGTCCCGCAAATTCCCGGGCCCTTTGAGCTCTCCATAGCTTTGGCTTCTCAGGGAGCTTTCATTTGAATCGAGGAGTCTGGGGCCCCAAAAGTTTGCAAACCTAGACAGGCCACCTCCTGAACAGTGCCTTCAGGGCAAATCATACTCGAGGTCTCTGAAACGACTGCAGAAAGCCTGGACATTTATTCTTTTTTTTTAATTCGTTTCTCTGTTTATTTTTTTAAAATAGTTTTATTGGCATATAATTCGCATATCATACAAGTCAATAATTCAATCACATCAAGAAGAGTTGTACAATCATCACTACAATCAGATTTAAGACATTTTCTTCGTTGTTGGACTCATCGTTATTAGCTCTTCATTCCCCTGCAATCTCCTCTTCCATAACTCCAAGGAACCATTCATCCAGTTCATGTCTCCATAGATTTACCGCTCCTTGATTTAATATACAGAAAATAAAAATTTTAAACTAACAATAACCAAATAAAACAAACAAAAACCTCAATCAAAAAGACAGCCGAAAATATTAAAACTAGAAAGACTTTAAAATGGATCAAAAAAATTTCAAATGATCAGGTTTTAGATTTTAACCTAATTGCATTTATTCTTTAGACAACATTCCGCTAATGCATTCAAAGGATATGGAGCCTTGATTGTGTGCCTGGCACCATGCTATGCGCTTGGGAAATAAACGTGTCCATTAGACTTACAATTAGCACTTAATTTAATTACAATTAGCACTTAATTTAATTAGCACACATGTAAACAACTCAACATGTTCGATACTGATGTGTTTTGGGAGCACAGTGGAAGATCATCCGTTCGCTTTGTACAAGCCTGGAAGCTTCACTGAAGATGGGAAACCAAACTATCCTAAATTTGCTTTGGAGTTCGGATGATCCTCTCAATTGTAGGGGAGTTATTAATCTATGAACGAAATTTCTGGCACCTGCACTATTCACTGATTGTCTGGTGGGACTAAAGTCTAAAGCAGCTAAACAAGTATGACTGGAGTTTAACGATAAATGAGATCTGTAATCATGGAATAATTCTGCAAGCAATACTTTCTTCTCAAAAAGACATGAGGTGAAGTTTGCAATCAACCTTGACAAAATGATTTCGTTTTGTCCCAGTTTCCAAATGCAAATTCCTAAACATCGGGGGGTCTATGCAGAGTAGTGGCTGTTTTATTTACTTTTGTACCTGCTGCCTCTGGCAAGGTAAGTACCCAGTACACGAAAATGGAAAGGAGAAATAAATGGATGTATAACACTCCTGAAATCGCTCTCCGGGTTTGCTGGCAAACGTCAAGGCACGAACATCAGAGGGGTTGGAACATTCTTTTTATTCTGGTAATCTCTCATGGGAACGTTCTCCCCTTCTAAGTAGTCTTCGAAGGCATTTGGCAGAAATACTCGGTCTGCAGTTGTACTGTACCGGTACTTTGGCCCTAAGAGACGGGAAAACCCTACAGTCCTTAAACAACGCCTAACCGACCTTGCCGCGCTCCAGAGTCCCAGTTTCCCAGCAACGGAAACTCACTTCCGCCGCGACCAGGAAGTTAGATTTTTGGCTCGAAGCGGCTTCCCCGGAAAAATAAGTCTCTGTACACATGTGTCTCCAACACTAGAAACCAAAATCATCTTTACTCCTACCTCTTCAGGATTCATCTTTAACTCATACCAAGCGCTGAATGAAACAATCAGTGGTGACTAACAGGCCGTTACACCGCCCCCCATCCCCAGCGGAAACTACAACCCCCAGAATACAGGTTTCGCTCTTCCGAAGACAATGACCCATACATCCCAGTACGCAATGCGCTTCACAAGCCCTGGCCAGGCCGGAATTGCGCACTGCATGCTGGGGCTTGTAGTCCTGGCGGCACTCTTCCCTAGGTCCTCTGCGCTACGCCGTCCGGTCCCGCCTACTTTCTAGTCCTCCGGACCTTGTCGGCTGCTCTCGTCGAACAGGAAGTTTTAACATTCCCAGGCCGGCTGCTGAGAGACGGTGGCTCGGGTGGGACAGTCGTCAGGGATGGCGGAGCGTGAGAATGGAGCGGTTGTCCGGGCTGCTTTCCTGGACGCTGAGCAGAGTCCTGTGGCTCTCGGGTCCCTCTGAGCAGGGAGCTGCCCGGCAGCCCCAGATCATGGAAGAGAAAGCGCTAGAGGTTTATGGTAATTTACCTAGAGTAGTATTTGGCGTTAAACGTGGGGGTGGGAGGTTGGAAGGAGTGACAGATTAAAGGCCTGAGGGTGTGGAGGAGAGACCTATTTTGTTGTGGTTTTTGATTGTTTGCCGGATTTCCTCGGGAGAATGGGGAGCGTTTTTTTCAAGGGTCCTAAGTCACTGGAGGATATGGGAGGCTTCTGCTTTTTCTACACGTGGGGCACGCTTACTCTAAACTCTAGAGATCTTAAACTCTTTATTCTCCTTATTCATCCCACGCCCTAGTGACTGTCCCAAGACTCCAGGGTAGAACAAGAGTTTTGGGTGCTTGGTTAGGAAACAAAATGCTGCCCCATTACCTGATTGCACTACTTGAGCCTTCTTGCTTATCCCAGGTCCTTGGGCACGCACTTCCCCCGTCATTAGTAGGTGTCACCAAAGTCGGGGACTGGCCCAAGGTCAGAGTCACTCTTCTGCCGCAAAGTCAATAGGCAGAGGTCCCAGAAAGGAAAAGATTTACTATGCTCCTCATACTAAGACTTCAGACTTACAGTTCCATGATCACAGCCCTAAAACCTAAGAGTGCTGCACACACAAACGAGAGAGAGAATGAATTTTTAGAGTTCATGGGAAAAATCCCATGATCTTTTAATTCCATTCACATGTATGAAAACTCAGACGTAGACTGCTTAAACACAGAGTGGAGGTCCTGTTGCCTGTAAGGATCAGAGCTGAAGGGGAAAACATGTTCTCTGGTGCACTTGCCATCACTCCTCAGTTGCCAGGCGACTCCTTTTTTTGGAATGATGTGATTTTGTAAACTAAAACGATTGGATCCAATGTTCAGAAATTCCTGCTGCCCTCAGGTAAAAGATCTTAACCATAATAATGCAAATATAGTTCAGGGAAGGGTTATAGAAGAAATTTGGGAATGGGGAAGACCTGTGGAGCTAGTTAGCTCACTACCGTCTAGTCTATTCTAACTCACAGTGACCATATAGAACAGGGTAGAACTGCCCCTTTGAGTTTCCTAAACTAAATCGTTAGAAGAATAGATAGCCTTATCTCTCTCCTGTGGAATCCCTAGTAGGTTCGATGACAATGTGGTTAGTAGCCCAGTGTTTAGGCCGCTATACCAACAGGGCTCCCTCTCGATAGCAGCAGGACTTACTTAGCCACAAACCAAACCAAACGAGCGTCTTTCCACTCAAGGTGACCCCATGTGCTGCACACACGAGAACTGTGCATAGGCTTTCAAGACTGAGCTTTGGGACTCATGGTTATCAGCAGCAATCTCGGGACATCAGATCCAATATTCTTTTTCTTAATTGGGGGACTCTTACAGCTCTTAGAACAATCCATACGTCAATTGTTATCAAGACTATTTGTATGTATGTTACCATTATTTTCTAAACATTTACTCTCTCTTTGACCCCTTGGTATCAGCTCCTCTTTTTCCTCTCCCCCCTCATGACCCCTTGATAAATGATAAATGATTATTATTTCCATATCTTACACTGACCACTGTCTCCCCTCACAGTTTCTGTTTGTCCCCCTCCCCTCCCCTTCCCCCTATTATATTGCTGCTCCCATTTCTGTTCCTGAGGGGTTTATCTGATCTGGATTCTGTATGTCATGAGCTCTTATCTGTACCAGTGTACATGCTCCAGTCTAGCCAGAACTGAAAGGCATTCTGACTAGGTCATGATGGTGGCGGGGTGAGGAAGCCTCAAAGAACCAGAGGAATATTATGTTTCATCGGTGCTATATTACACCCTGGTTGACTCCTCCCTTCCTTGTGACCCTTCTGTGAGGGAATGTCTGTTGTCTACAGATGGGTTTGTGGTCTCTGCTCCCACCCCCTTTGTTGTTTTTTTGTTTGTTAGAGCCAATATTCTTAGTGTTATAGAGTAGAACAGTTGCTCCTTAGGGTTAAGACTATGACCTTGTGGCCTTTCTAATAACGTGGGTGAGCTCCAACCAATAATCTTTCAGTTAGTAATCCAGTGCTTAAACATTTGTGACACCCAAGGACTCCTCAAGCAACCTGGACTAGATTCTGAGTGCAATCAAGTCCATAAAGCAGTTGGACACACTTGTATTTTGCCCCTCTTCTGTCTACAGCAAATCTAAGGACACTGGGTTGCATCTTTGGAAGAGACAATCTTTGACCTCAAAATTATACTGAGGGAAACGTAGGTAAATATAAACATGCCAAGTATGTAGAAAAAGGCTATGCAGAAAAAAAACCCCAAACCCTAACTTCTATCCAATCAGTTCTGATTCATAGCAACCCTAAAGGACAGGGTGGAATTGCCCCTTGGGTTTCTGAGACTATATCTTTTCTTTATAGGAGTAGAAAGCCTAATATTTCTCCCTTAGAGTGGCTGGTGTTTCGAACTGCTGACCTTCTGGTTAGCAACCCAGTGCCTACCTAACGCACTATGCCACCAGGACTCCATAGAAAAAAGGGCTTTTAGGCTTCAATAAGATATAGAAATTCAGAGGAAGGGAAAATACTGAACTGTGACAGGCTATGGGGTCTGGAAAGGCTTAAAGGAGAAGAGTCACTTGAGTGGGTCTTGAAGAGTAGGGTCTGGAGATGTAGAAGGAACCTGGGTGGCATGGTGGATGAGCGTCTTGGGCAAACCAAATCAAAGGGCCATTCAAACTTACCAGCCTTCACGTGGGAGAAAGATGTGGTAGTCCTATTCCAGAAAGATTCTAACCTTGGAAACAATATGGAGCAGTTCTACTTTCTCCTAGGAATTAAGGAATCCTATGGGAACGGGTTTGGTTTTGGGTTCATTTTGGTAAGTAGATGGTCAGGGCATACTAGGCCAAGGAAATTAGAGCTGAAGTATAGAGATGAGAAAACAATATGCTGGAGGAATGGCAGAAGAATTTCTGTCAAGGGAGAACTGTGAGGAGATCAACATTGTTTTCTTTCTAAAGAAACCCAAGCCTTTCAAATCACTGGAAAACTGGCCACGTTTAATAATGGGAGAGATTTCATTTCAGACGATGTAGCGTATATAGAACACAATACAGCTTCTATAGATGAACCTTGTATAGAAGACAGCGATGAGGGCAACACTGTCCTTTTCAAAAGCCGTGTTTCTCAGAGCCTGATGTGGTCACAGGCTTGAGGAAGAGCCATAGCCGCTTCCCTGCATATGTTTACATTTCTCATTAGACGTGCTGAGTCCAGGAGGTAGAAAGTACAGCCCGACTGGCCCTTTGTCTCTCCCTGCTGCGTTTCTGATCACAGGGTGCTTATAAATAATGGAAAGCCTCATGCCTGAGAACACCAAACTCATCCTACGGGACTTCCCCCTGCTTTTCCTCTACCTCAGCATTTCTTTTCTTTTAAAAGTCGTTTTATTGGGGGCTTGTACAACTCTTCTCACAATCCATCCATCCATCCATTGTATCAAGCACATTTGTGCATTTGGTTGCCATCATTCTCAAAACATTTTCTTTCTACTTGAGCCCTTGGGATCAGCTCCTCATTTCCCCCCCTCCCTCTGCTCACCCTCCCTTCCTCCCTCACGAACCCTTGATAATTTATAAATTATTGTTTTTTCATGTCTTACACTGTTCAGCGTCTCCCTTCACCCACTTTTCTGTTGTCCGTCCCCCAGGTTATATGTAGATCATTGTGATCGATTCCTCCATTCTACTCCACCTTCCCCTTAGCCTCCTGGTATCACTACTCCCATTATTGGTCCAGAAGGGTTTATCTGTCCTGGATTCCCTGTGTTTCCAGCTCTTATCTGTACCAGTTTACATGCTCTGATCTAGCTGGATTTGCGAGGTAGAATTGGGTCATGATAGTGGGGTGTAGGGTGTGGTTATAAAACACTGTGTTTCCCTTATCTTTGTCATCATCTGGCTTCTATAATAGAGGATAAAGTGTAGGAATCAGCTTTGGCAGCCCCCTGGA